AATCTCATCAACTAGTCCTCTACTACGCTGGGCTTAATTGCACCCTTAAACCATAGAAGCTTCAATCACAAAAAAATTTGTTATTGTCTATCAACGTCATCATATCTAATAGAAGAAATCTTACTCTAGGCCTCACCCATTAACTATGCCACTAGACTAATAAATTAAGAAATGTAATTAAAATTTATAGTAGGAGTAGTACACTATACTGATGTTGCTTAACTAGCAATTTGTCCATCTATCATATTTGATTCTTATAGATTCCTCAGATAACCACACAGATAATATGAAACTAAATAGATATGCACATAAAAATAAACATAAATGAATACCTAAATACTACCCAAAACTATCACACTCAATTACAAATCAATTCCTCTAGCTATGTTTTACAATTAGTCCTCAAAATCACTAATCTCATATAAAAAAGGAACTATCATAACCGAACCCAATATAGCCCATAAGCAGAACATGTCCTATCATGTTGACTTATAATATTACAAACCTAAGATCTAAGTTTCATAGAAAATTTAGATTTTATTTTAAATTATACAGACTATAGAGCTTTTAATTATTTTCCAGTAGGTAGCAAATAAACTCATCCATAAATTTCTATTCTCTTAATTTATCATCAAAATATATTTAGTAATTTATACATTATATTGCATTATTATAGGCCACAATAAAACAAATAAACATCTAGCCATGTCTGTATTAAAAATTAAAAATTCCTTTATAAATTCAGATAGATCTAATCATGATTCCTCGGCTACTCAACTAGTTTTTTTTTTATTTTCTTAGACATAAAATAGTATACATAATATTTGTGAGACAACATAGCTCATTAGGTCACACCCACAGACCAAAATTTTTAATAATTCATTTATTTTGCATTTAACTAAATATAAAATTAGTTTATAAGAAATACTTCATACATAGCATAATATTAATCATAGATTATTGGAATAAAATAGGTTGTGCTTTGAAAGTAAATAACAAGAACTTCATATATCAAAGCAAAAAGTAATAGATGTTTTTCAAACTCTTATTCTTCCCATAAAAAATAGACATTAGAATTCAGACCCTTATGAATCCCTATGCTAATATATCAAAAAATAGGCCCTTATGACTCCCATTGCTTAGCACATATTAGATATTTAATGATTTAGGTTCTTATGACTCTCCATTCCTTTAACCCTAGAACTTCCTCCAACATTAGATCTCCATATAATCACAAAGGTCAAGCAGATTAGAATATAGCATTGCACTACAATTAAAGAATGTAATTGAACAAATTTCATAAATTCACAAAATGCTTTAACAGTAGGAAACATATTTAACTATTGAGTAGAATTTCATGTTTTTAGAATTTTACTTCATTACCAGAGATTATTTAGAACACTATTTTGGAGCTTTCATTATACTAAAATATTTTTTTAGGATAAAAATTAATTTCTTTCTTAATAAATAACACACTTTTTAAACTAATCAATAAAATTTTTCTTGAAAAATACCTAATTATCCATGATAATTATTACCATAATATATAAGAAGTTATATGATAAAAGTCTAGCAGTTAGAAAGTTATCCTTATTTTCTTGATAAAATGTATAAATTTAAATAGGAAAATCACAAGATTTCCATATTTTTAAAAATCTAGATAGGTAAAATGTAATATATCTTGATCTGAATAACTTTCAAAATTGGGTCAACATCAAGAGATGAACTGGAGTTTTCAAAATCCTAGCTTTCTCTCTATTGAATTTTCCTCCTCCTCCTCCTCTCTCTTTCTCTAGTCAACTACCTAAGGGGGAGAGAAATGGCTTGTTTTAAAATTTTGGTGGAAATGGATATTATTTTAATAAATCCTAAACCTGGCACCACAACGCATGACCTTAATGTGCCACAATGCTCTCCATTAGATAGAACGGTACCATAGTGCCACCCTAAGCATCTCAACATTAAATTATTTTGGACAAAAGATAAAGAGCTAAATGTCATGATACCACCAATACAAGTGTCGTAGTGCCTTAGGGGAAAATTCTAGATTTTTAAATCAAGCAAACAGACCTCTTTGACCCACTTCAGAATTGACTAACACACTTATATGCATACAAAACACTCATAAACACATGCAAGGGGTAAATTTAAGGGGTTACCTTTACCAAACTAGGTTAGAACAAGTATAACTATGCATAGATTCAATAGGTGTGACATTGAAGCCCATCCTTAATGAAATTTATTTAAACTTGTTTAGATTTGAACATTTATTTAAACGTAGCTCCAAGTAGGGGTATCAAAATGGGTTAATATGTTGGGTTCAAGCCAAGCCTAAAATTAGTCTTACCCAAATTTATTTAGTTGAAACCCCACTCGCTTAATAAATATGTCAAAATGATGGATTCAAACCTAATATAATAGCCCATTGTGATTATGAAAAATTATAACTAGCAAATTCTAAAGTTTAGGTAAATTAATAAAACAAAAATAAGAGATTATACCAACAAGTAAAAGGATTTGAGAAAAAAATTAATTAGGTCACTTTCAAGTAAAAATTTTGTTCAAGGGTAAGCCTAAACCTGATATAACAACACAAACTCTTAGCTATTGAGGTACTCACTACTTTGGTCTAATGATCTCATAATTTTATCCCAATATTATAGCTTCCTAGTAAGTCACCTATCCCAATATTGCTCTAGCACAGGAATGCTTAATCGTTAAGTTTTTTAATGAAATTCAAACCATTACACTAAAAGGAACTTTGATATTTTAGAGTTTAACTTCTTTCTACTTAAGGGGTTTCATAATCTCTTCATTTTAAGTAATTGATGTCCTCATCAGAACTCTTATCAAAGAATTATCCACTATGTAGATAGGATTCTAGAGGTGGACCATATAAGCTCAATTAGTGGCTTGATAAGTAGAAAAATTACACACTCCAAATTGTATATATTTGTTATCATGTGCTAGCTAAATTTATCTTTTAATGCAAAAAATGTCAAAATTATCAAAATTGACCTAGCACTTTAGCACCCTATAATTAGTACTATAACACTATAATTTTCCCTAGCATCATATGCCATCAAATGAATGATGCAACAATTAAACTCTTGGATGAGCGCTGGAGAGCTTAGCACCAAGGCATTACCTTGGGAGTGCCACGGTTCAAGATTGAGACCCACAACACAAAATCTCCCCTATGCCATAATGAAAAATAGTTTCGAAAGGTTAAACTATTGAAACAATGCAATGAGTGGTGAACCAACACGATGGTTCAACAGCTCCATAAGGCCACAAAATCAATGGCGTGATGTTAGTTCAATTATTTTAAAATTCTATATGTAACTAATGTTCACATTAAAAGGTTGGCAACTTGGAGAGACATACTTGAGGGTGTGTGTGTGTGTAAGAGAGTGTGTGAGCTTACTTTTGGTGGAGGTTAGCTCTTTTGTACATGCTGTGTGAGTCTTAAACTTACGTGGAGAGAAGGATATATTTCAAAGGTATATATTCTACTTAGCATGGTTATTTCTATCATTATTATATCTTATAATTTTATTTTGTTTGGTGAAATAAAAATGTTTGTTATATTTAATTTTATCTCTAAGTTATTAAATTATATTTTTTTAGCTTATGATAATTTAAGAACCATGTATTGCATAGAGTAGATTTATGATTTAATAAATTATTTAACACTATTTTTTATTCCTCCATTTTTTATTTAGTTTGTGTATAGGCCGTTCATAAACCTAAACCCTTGTGTGATCAGTAGCCTCAGAGAAGTAGTAGAAGAATAAATAGAGGATTTAAAATGTAATATTGTCATGTATAGACATATGATAGTTAGGGTTATAGGATCTTAAGGAAATAGTAAAATGGTAGTTGGGAGGAATTATAGCTAATACTCCAACGACCTTGATAAAGATGAGGAGTAATTATGCTCTTATTCATAGCAACATTATGAAGAAATCTCTCTATTGCAAGCATGTGTTTTTAAATATCTTAGGTTCAAAATTTTAAAAATTATTGCATTTATCTTTTATAAATTTGACTTTTATCTTTTCATTGCATCACCCTTATTAATCATTTGATATGATAAATATAATGATTTTATTAACTAATATTAGAGTGAGCTTAAGATAATTCCAATTCCTCATGGGAATGACTTTTATCTTATCACTTTATTACTTAACATGACACAAACACTTGCATAGAATAGGAGTTACACCTTAGCATAGCAAATAATAGTTAATAGAACCAATGGTGTGTGGAATTTCTTGTCAAGTTTTTGGTGTGATTACTAAGGAATTAAAGTTAACTATCATTTCTTACATTTTGTAAATCTGAACAAAATACTAATTTAATCTTGTCTTTATTTTATTTTACCAGCTCTGTGTTGCCATTATTTTTATTTTACTCAATAAGATGAATTATTAATTTGATTTTTATTAATTATTTTGTGTTTTGCAATTTTTTTAGTGTTGCTTACTATTGCATGCATAATAAAAACAACTAGTAGAAATTTTGTTGAATGCTAAAAATGAAAACAAAACTCTATAAAAAAAAATTAGAAAAACTAAGAGATTACAAAAGATTTAAAAATTGTTGAACAAATTTAAGAGAATGATCAACCTAGACTCTTTATGGGATTATAATAATTCAATGGTTGAAGGCATTCACCAAAGCATTAATAAACCTAGTATTAAGGCTAACAATTTCAAGTTGAATCTTACAATAATTAAAATGGTTCAAAATTCTCAGTTTTAATAAACACTTATAGAAAACCCTAACCTACATATTGCTAGTTTTTTTGAAAATATGTGCCACCTTTAAATATAATCTTGTATTTTACAATATCATTATACTTAGGATATTTCACATTTCATTGATAGACAAAGTTAAGATGTGGTTAAACTCGTTACCCCCCCTGCTCTGTCAAAACATAGAACCACTTAGCTCATAATTTTTATGCCAAGTACTTTCACCCATCTAAGATTACTAAGCTTAGAAATGATATCAATTCATTTAGACAATTAGATGGGGAGGCCCATTTATAAGGCATGGGAAAGATTTAAAGAATTACTTATGAAGTATCCCCACCATGCATTGTTTATTGGCTCATTATTAAAACTTTCTATAATGTTTTAGTTGGCTCTCTTATTGATGTGGATAGTGGTGGATTTTTTAAGTTTAAACCCTTCGATGAGGCTTATACTTTGATCGAAGTAATAGTAACCAAGAATTTTTAATGGTTGTCTAAAAGAGTTAACCTAAAAATGTAGTTAGTGTATATGAATATGATGCCCTATCAATCTTTGAATAATAGTCGCTGGGGAACTTTGCTTAGTAACACTAAAGTAAATCCAAGAGAAAAATGTAAGGAACATTATAAGGCTATTCTATTAAGGAGTGGAAATGAACTAGAGAAACTTGTTAGGATGGAGGAGAAGCATGTCGATAAAATACTAGAGAAAGCTCCATTAGAACTCACTAAGTCTAATAAACCATCTCAACCCACTAAGGAAATAGAAAAACATATTTGGAAGGTAGTTGAGAGACCACCACCACCTTTTCCTGAGAGATTTAAAAAAAAAAAAACTTTAGAATGGTAGTTTTCTAAATTTGTAGAGATATTTAAAATTTTATTAATTAATTTACCCTTTGCTGAAGCCCTAAAATAGATGCCCATATATGTAAAATTTATAAAAGAAATTTTAATTAAGAATAGAAAATTATGAGACTTTGAAATACTACCCTTACTAAGAAATGTATAGCCATCATTCAAAAGAAAATCCCACAAAAGCTTAAGTACCATTGTTGTTTCACCATCCCAATGGCTATGGGAGATACTTTTTGTAGGAAAGTGCTACATGATTTTGGTGCTAGTATTAATCTTATGCCTTGTCCATATTTAAAAGATTAGACTTAGGAGAAATCCAGCCTACCTCTATTACCCTACAGTTAGCTAACGGTTCATTCATCTATCCTAAAAGGTAACATAATATATTTTAATAAAGGTTGATATGTTTATTTTTTCTATAAGTTTTGTTATTTTAGAAATGGAGGAACACATGGACATATCCATCACCCAAGTTAGACATTTCTTAGCTACATGTAGGGCTAAAATTGATGTTAGGAAGGAGAGCTAACTATGAGAGTTTAGGAGTAAGAAGTCACCTTCAATGTACTAAAATCTATGAAGTTTCCTAAAGATCAATGTGAGGATTATTGTGGAGTGGATTCTATTGATTCTTGTATAGAGGGTCTTATAAAGGGGATGTTAGGTGATAGTTAGTTAGATATGTCATTATGTGATGATAATTTTAATAAGGTTAAGGGATATTCTATTCATTTTATTAGTGAAGCCCCTAGGATGTTTAGGGAAACCCTTGAAACCATCTATAATTATGGCTCTTAAGCTAGAAATGTAAGCAATGTATGCTTACTTAAAATATGCCCTATGAGGAAAGGAGTTAACTTTACTTGTCATTTTCTCTTCTGAGCTTAAAAATGACTAGGAAAGTATGTTGATTAAAATTATTAGCACATATAAGAGAGCATTTGATTGGTTTATTACTGATATTCAAGGGATTAGTCCATCCATTTGTATGCATACGATCCTATGAAAGGAAGACTATTAACTTAAACCTAATCTACATAGGAGATTGAGTCTAATTATGAAAGTATTGGTTAACAAAAGTATTTCTAAATGGTTGGATGTGGGTATAATTTATCCTATTTCTGATAATGATTAGGTTAGCCCAATTCACTATATTTCGAAGAAAGGAGAGTTAACTATCATTTCAAATGAGAAGAATGCACTTATTCCTACTTGGACTTTGACTATATTGATTATAGTAAGCTTAATAAAGTCACTAGGAAGGATAATTTCCCTTTGACCTTTATTAATCAAATGCTACATAGATTAGCTAGACATCCTTTCTATTATTTATTAGATGGCTAATCTAGAAACTGGCATATTTTAATTTCCATAGAATATCAGGATAAAATGACATTGATAAGCATAAGGAAAAGATCCAAATGTTTGATAATTTTCCACCTCCTCTTACTTCTACTAAGGGAGTCCATAGTTTAATATGTCTTGTCAAGTTTTGTAGGCACTTCATTAATGTTTTTTATAAGATTACTAAACTGTTTTATCATTTGTTAGAAAAAGTTATGCCGCTTGATTTTAATTCTAATTGCTTAGTTGTGTTTGAGAAAGCCAAGAAGTGCATGCTTAGTTCTACACCTATCATCATTTTACCTCAATGGTCTCTAAATTTAAAATTGATGTGTTATTCTAGTGACTATACCTTTAGAGGTATTATATGAAAAGAGTTGATAAAAAATTTCATGCCATTTACTATACTAATATGATTCTAAATAAAGCACAAACAAAGCACAAAACTACTAAGAAATAGTTGCTAGTGATAGTCTTTATCTTTGAAAATTTTTAGATCTTATTTAATCGATTCCAAAGTTACTATTTTTATTGATAATTCTACCATCAAATACTTATTAATTAATAAAATATGCAAAACCAAGATTAATTTGGTTTATTTTATTATTATAGGAATTTGATGTAGAGATTCATGATAAGAAATGATCTAAAATTAGGTGACTAATAATATGTCAACATTAGAGAGGGATGATAATAAAAATGATGATAATTATATTAATGAACTCTTTCATGATGAGAAGTTATTTGAATTACGTTAATTTTGTGCACATTGGTATGCTAACATGATAAATTTCATTGTGAGTGTGGGTAATTCTATATAACGTCTTAAACCCACAGGTGTAAATTTAAGCATGATATCAAATTCTATTTTTGGTATAAGCCTTACCTATTTAGAAAGTGTAAAGATCAAACTATTATGTTATGAGTCCCTGAAGAAGAAATATAACCCATTATTAGTTAGTGTAATGATTTTGTGTATAAAAAGGCATTTTGAATGGTTTTGAATTGCTTCTAATATCCTTCAATATAGATTTTATTGGCCTACCCTATTTAAGGATATACACAATTATATCAAAAGATGTGATAAATGCCATAAGGTAGGAAATATTTCTAAAATATATGAGATGCCCCTTAATTACATGCTTTTTTTTTTTTTTTGAGAAGATGCAAAAATTGCATTTAAGAAAAAGAAGTTAACCTAATACAAACTAGGCAACAGAAGCTAATGATACCTTTTTTCAACATGAAAAAGTATCTTATTAAAACTTAAATTTGTTATTTTAAACTTATTATAATTGTAATGAAATCCACTATAACCTATTTTGAAACTGTTGAGATGCAGGGGATACCAAGTTATAAAACAACCCGAGGGTTGATTAGTATCCCAGAGTTCCCATCCAATTAGAGAATAAGAAATAGTAAAGACCACATAAACAATTAAGTAAAATTTAAAATAACAAATTAAAGGAAGGGAAAGAAAATAAAAACTAATAATGAAAATACATTTCAATGAAAAATTCCATAACTTTAGTAAGTCTTTGCCAAACTTGAAGACCTTGTGTTCCATCTTCTAAAGCATCTCTCTTTTGTTGCTATCCATTGAAGAATCCTTTTTCATATTAATGGGATATAAAGGAAGAAGAACCTTTAAAAACGTTCTTCTCTTTGTGTTCAGCCATTTTCCTTCTAGGCAATTCTTTCACTGGACCCAATCCTTGAAGTTCTTTGAATAAAACATGCTTTGCTCCGGGTGTAACATTATTCTTAAAAACATTTTTATCTTTTTTAAGAATAGTTTTTTTCAAATTCAAGCTAACAGCTGATGGAGTAGAAGATGAGTCAATGATATTAGAATATTTACCATTACTATTAACATCAGCCGTCAAAGTAGATAATGTATCCAAAGCTGTATTTTTTTCTCCCAAAAAATCAGCAACATTAGGAAACTCGGTGGCCTTTGTAGGAGTCAATTCTGAACTTTGAATTTCCTTCTTTTCATCAAAATTGTTTGCAGCCTTAGAAGTAGCCAAAACCGAAATTTGTTCTTTCTCTATCTTCTCCTTGATTGCCTCCATGTTAAGTGGGTTTTGAATTTTCAAAACCTCCACTAAATTAGGCAAACCCGTTGGACTAACAGCATTTAGTCCAATTGAATTTGATATAAAACAATCTGGAAAAACCTCCTCAACAACCTTATCTACCTCCATGATATGTGGGATTTCAATTTCTGAATTTTGAAATCTTGAAATGGAGCAGTTTCCATTCACGGGATGCTCCATATTGTCCTGATTTTCAGCAACAGCTTCAGCTCTAACTTCCACTCTTTCATCCACAGATTCTGGAATTTTAATTCATAATTTGAATTTAAATTGTTATTGGGATGGTCTTCATCTTCTACCTTGTTTTCAGCAGCCATCTGAAATTCCGGAACATAAGATTTTGGTAATCCTCTATCTTCAACATTTACCATGGAAATAACACAAACATCTTTTGGTTTGTCCATGGTAGAAGCCTTCTTCGAATCTGGAAAAGATCTTCTCTTATTTTTGAATTTCACGTGCATCCAAGGTCCCAATGTATTATCAGGATGAAATGAATTTTTGAGGACCTCTTTGACAATAGGATTTTGATTTTGAGCTGAGTTTGGACACAAGGAATCAATGTGTCCGATTTTCCCACAATTAAAGCAAATAGAAGATAGATTTTCAAACTCAAATTTTTGAAAAAATCTACCATGAACACCTTCTACCCAAGTTCCAGCAGGGAGTTTAGAATCCAAATTGACTCGGATGCAAGCTCTAGCATATTCTCTCCTCCCCCATCTAAACATATTACCATCCAATAAAAGAGGAGTTCCAATCCTAGAAACAATTCTAGTGATATTGGCTTCATCCCAACAATGTAAAGGCAAATGTGGAAGACGAACCCAAATTGGAGAAGAAATTCCATTCAAAGAATAAGGAGAGAAGGTTGGAGACCAAATGTCTAAGCCAACCACAAAACCCCCTACTAGCCATGGTCCCCCATTAAGGACTCCCTCCATGGCTTCATGAGTTTGAAAAGAACAAAGGAGCCAATCAAGGCCAAGCAATGTAATATGAAAACTACCATATTTAGACCATTGCTTTCTTAATTACAATGAA